CTGCCCCTGAGCCCAGTGTCCTGCTCTGCCGGGGCACAGAGCTCAGCCGGGCTCAGCTAAACCCTTCCCACCCCTCGGAGCTCTGCTCCAACTGTTTTCCAACTGCAGCTGCTCCGAAGGGCTGGAGCAGTCCGGGCTCTGGGGCTGTGTCCCCCCTCAGGAGCCACCGTTTGGCAAACCACCGTTTGGGCACTGTGGTGGCCTCCCTGTGCCCTCCAGGACCCCCTGACCCCTCTGTCCTGCTTCCCACCTGCAGCTTCAGAGATGGAAAGGAAGTTTCACAGGTGGGGCTGGATCACAGGGAGATGTTCCGGGGCCTGTCCCTGCTACGGGCTCTGGGAGAGCATGAGGAACCTTTGGAGCCCCGAGGCACCCTGAGGGTCCTTAATTAATTGAGTTTAAATTAATTGTGCTGGTGAGTTCAGGGGCTCAGCCACTGTCCAGGCAGGGCTGAGCCCCCACAGCTACCCCAGGCCTGGCTTGGCTGAGGGGCACCAGCTCCTCCACAGGGGACAGGAACCCCCCTTGCTCCCCCACCTGGCACCCATCCCCTTCCCAGAGCCATTTCCCTGTGCTACTCGGCCCCTTGGGAGGGTTTTGGGGTGTCCCTACCCTGGGGAAGGGGGGGAGACAGTTTGTGGGCAGTGCCCATTGCTGGTGGGGCCAGTGCTGTCTGCTCCATCCGGCTGCGGAGGGGACACCGGGGACGATGCAGGGGCCCCGTGCCCTGCTGTCCTCCCCCCTCCCCGCCGCGTTTCCTCTGACCAGGGCTGCCCGCACCCCGAAATAACCCCCCGAGACAGGCACCCCAGGGCGGGCTGGATTCGGCCCCGGTGGGAGGCTGGTGGTGGGTGCTGTGCTGCCCCCCTGTCCCCCCAGCTCCCCCAGTGTCCCCCGGTGGCACTGCCACCTCCTGCCCCCCACCCACCCTGCTCCGGCCACATCCGACCCAGCGCGTCCCCCCCACCCCCCTCTGGCTCCCGCAGGAGCGGATGCGCGTTCGGGGGGGCCCTTCCTGCGCCCCCCATCACTGCTGTCCCCGGCCCCGACTGCGTCCTCCGAGATAAGCCGGGACCGCCCCGGGACGTGCCGGGGCTGTGGCCACATTTCGGGGTGGCCATGAGGCTGCTACGGGTGCTGCTGCTCCTCGGGGGGCTGCGCCTACCCCCCATCCTGGGGCTTCTCCAGGAACCCCCCACCGAGTACACGGGACCCCCCGGCAGCTATTTCGGCTTCGCCCTGGATTTCCTCATGACAGAGGGCAGGTAGGGACACACCGCGGGGCGGGGGTCGGGCACAGCACCCGCCCCCCCAGATGACACCCGCTTTGCCCCCCAGGCCCAGCGTGGCCGTGGGGGCCCCCCGTGCCAACACCTCCCAGCCCGGCGTGGCTCAGCCCGGCGCCGTCTTCCTCTGCTCCTGGCCCCCCCGACGAGACCCCCTGCCGCCCCCTCCCCATCGACACCGCGGGTACGTGGGCGCCGTGCGGTGCTGGGTGGGCACAGGGCATGTGCCGGAGCCGCAAAATCCCCCTCTCCCGCTCCCCCAGGGGACGAGACCGAGACCCAGGGCACCTTGGAATTCCACACCTACAAGTCGCACCAGTGGCTGGGCGCGTCCGTCACCGGCTGGGACGGCAAACTGGTGGTGGGTGCAGCCGGCGGGGGGTGGTTTGGACACCCGTGGGTGGTGACGGCGGGGTGGGCACCCACCCTGTGCCATCCCTGTGCCCCTGCCCAGGCCTGCGCCCCGCTGCAGCACTGGAACGCGGTGGACGGGCCGGACGAGGCGTTCCGGACCCCGACGGGCACCTGCTTCGTGGCGACCCCGGGGCTGCGGCGCGTGGTCTGGTACTCGCCCTGCCGGGACCAGTCGATGGCCAACACCTACCGCCAGAGCAACTACGGTGAGGGGGGTGAGGGGCTCGGGGAGGAACGGGGGGTGCCCCCCACCCCGTGTCGGTCTGACCCTGCCCTGTGCCCGCAGAGCACGACAAGCGCTACTGCGAGATTGGCTTCAGCGCCGCCGTCACCCCGGTGAGGGGGGGTTCGGGGGGCTCGGGGGGCTCGTAGCGGTTCGGGGGGACTCAGGGAGCAGCGCACCCGGCGTGCCCCCCGGGATTCCCGTGGAGATGCTGCCAGGGATGCAGAGGGTGTGGCCGGAATGGTACCTGAGTGGGGGTGTCGGGGGGGGGGGGGG